AGGCAGTATCACAGGGGTGAACCTACTATTTCCATGGGATCTGCTCCTAGACCCAGCTCTCTTGTGAGCTGGTTAATGATATGACCCAGCTAAACAAGATCCACACTCTATACTGACACTCACTGGGCACATACTGTGGTTGAGCCTTGTCAGGCAGGCAGGCCCCCATCGTGTGTGTGTGCGTGTGTGTGTGTGTGCCAGTAGGCAGTGATTGATGTCAATACCCAGCTTAGGTCTCCAATTTCAGTACGTGCGTTGGTTTAGCCTCAAAAATTTCCCCATGTTCCTTTCTCTAAACTACCTGGTCTCAGGCCCCTTGTTTACCTGCAAGTTCAGCAGCCTGGTTGGAGGAATCCCTCCAGAAATCACCTCATCAGTCAGGCTCTCTTTCAGTGGTCCTCTCTTCCCCAACATCTGTCGACCTGTTTTCCTGAGCAATCAGGAGCTCCACATGCCTACTAGCACACAGAATCCAAACCCTGCCCTCTGGTGATGTGTTGTGCCAACCTCAGGCTCTACATGCCTATGAAGGTCCACGAATATTTATGCACTGTGTCAAGACCCTGTCTACTGATATACAGGGATCTGGTCCCCCATATCTGAAAGAAAAAGAGAGAGAAAGAGAGAAAGAAAAGAAAGAAAGAGAGAAAGAGAGAAAGAGAGAAAGAAAGAAAGAAAGAAAAAAAAAGAAAGAAAGAAAGAAAGAAAGAAAGAAAGAAAGAAAGAAAGAAAGAAAGAAAGAAAGAAAGAAAGAAAGAAAGAAAGAGCGGGCAAGTGGGGAGGGAAGGAGAAAGGGAGAAAGAAAGAAAAAAAAATAGGCAACTATGCTGATACACTGGTATGGTTAAAACAAATTTGGCATTAACCAGGCCCAGGATACCTGTCAGCAATTAGCTGTTTTCTCCCAGCAGTGTAACATTTGCCAGGTACAATGCAACCTAGACAGTCACTTACAGCTCGGGTTCATGATTAGTATTTGCAAAGAACAAGCTTTATTGGTCATCTCTACTGTTCTTGAAAATTTTGTTTACTTTTTCATTTAAAATATTTTTATAAAAATTTAAATTTATAAATTTATTTGAAAAGGCAGGAGAGAGAGAGCGATCTACCATCCTCTAGTGCACCCCCCAAACAGCTGCAAATAGCTGCAGTCAGGCCTGTCCAAATCCAAGAGCCATGAGCCTCCTCCTGGTCTCCAATGTGGGTATCAGGAACCCAAAAAAGCAGGTAATGTGAGGTGGGAAATCTGGGACTGATTCTCAGCTCTGTCCCTTACTAGATGGATGGGCTGGAGCAATCGGGGTGTTCATAAACCAGTGGATTTTTTTTTCTATCTTAAAACATTTATTTATTCAAAAAGCAGAATTTCAGGGAGAGAGAGGAAAAGGAACAGGGAGACGAATAAAGAGAAAAATGACACAGAGAGAGAAAGAGATATCTTGCATTTGCATCTGCTGGTTCACTCCTCAGATATCTACGAAAGTCAGGGCTAGATCAGGCTAAAGCCAAGAATCAAGAGCTTCTTCTGAATCCCCCACAAGGGTAGCAGGCCCCAACCACTTGAGCTGCCTTCTGCCAAATTTCCAGGACATTAGCAGGGAGCTGAATTGGAAGTGGAACAGCTGGGACATAAACTGGTGCCCACATGGGATGCCGGTATCACAAGTGGCAGCTTTACCTGATGTACCACAACACAATCCCCACTCAATGGTTCTCAACATGCAGGTTGCCCTGAGCAGCACTGCCATCTCCTAGTGTTTAAAATGTGAATTATTGGGCTTGGCACAGTGCCTAGTGGCTAAAGTCCTTGCCTTGAATGTGCCTGAATCCCATGTGGGTACCAGTTCTGGTCCTGGTGGCCCCACTTCCTATCCAGCTCTCAGCTTGTGACCTGGGAGGGCAGTCAAGGAAGACCCAATGACTTGGGATCCTGAACCCCTGTGGGAGACTCTGAGGAGGATCCTGGCTCCTAGCTTTGGCTTGGCTCAGCTCTGGCCATTGCAGTCAGTTGGGGGGTGAGTCATCAGACCAAAGATCTTCCTCTCTGTCCCTCCTCCTCTCTGTATATATGACTGCAATAAAATAAATAAATAAATCTTTTAAAAATGTATGAATTATTGGGCCTGGCACAGTATCCTAATGGTGAAAGTCCTTGCCTTGTATGCATTAGAATCCCATATGTGTGCCAGTCCATGTCCCAACTATACCATTTCCCAACCAGATTACTGCTTTGTGGCCTGAGAAAGCAATGGGGACCCTGCATCGCTGTGGGAGACCTGAAAAAATCTCCTGATTCCTAACTTTGGACTCACTCAGTTCCTGCTGTCGTGGCCCTTGGGGATTGAACCAGTGGGTGGAACATTTCTCTGTCTCTCTTTCTCTCTGTAAATCTGACATTCCAATAAAGGTAAAATAAGTATTTTAAAATAAATACATAAAAATAAAATGTGAGTAAACCCAGCAGAGGCATGCCTTCTTCAAAAGAGAATGGAACCCTGTTAGGTCACTGTATCAGTTTTCTATTGAATTCCTTGGGGTCAAATTATAGGAATTGACATGGCACAGACTGTGACTGCTACGCCCCACATTCACTATCATCAGCTAATGATTTGTGATCAGGAAACAGAGTGAACTTAGTACAAATATCAGTACACAGCTGTCATAAGGATATTCTTACAGCACACAGTTCTGTGGCCTTGGACTGTTGTCCAACTGCAGATAATTCCCCACAGGTTCTGTCTGTGCTCTCTGGCACCAGTGTTCTATGAAGTCAAGATTGCAGGCACAGTCCTCCCTGCTCTTCTAATTAATTCAAGTTGCTTGTAAACTTCAGGCAGCCGTGGGTCTATGGGACAGTGGTAAAATCACTTCTTGGATGCCTGCATCTGTGTGGGACACACTACTTGGAGTCCCAGCCCTTCCAGTTCCAATTCAGCTTCCTGATCATGTGCACACCTGGAAGGCAGCAGGTGACGATCAAATATTTTGGGTCCTGTCACCCATGTGGGAGACCTGTGCTGAGTTCTTGGGTGCTGGATCCAGCCTGGCTCAACAGCAAGAATATTATGGCACTTGAGGAGTGAACCAGAAGATAAAGGCTTCTCTCTCTCTCTCTTTGAGATTCAAATGAAAAACTAGAATATAAGTAAGAATTTAGAAGGTGAATAATCAAGTCTTTACCCTAGCTTGAGATTTAGCCAATCTGAGCTGTAACAAGGCTTTCAGGCCATCTGATGCTTGGTTTCCCCAAGAATGGTTAAAGATATTTTCTCACAGAAGAAACTCAAAGGAAGTCAGGGTCATAGACAGGAAGATGTCTGCAGATAGGGAGACCCGAGGTAATAGAGTGGTGAGGAGGAAGGCACCCTCCTAAAGGCATTCAAATTTCCATTTTTTATGTTACCATGCCCTCAAAGGAGACCTGAATAAAAGTTAAATTCTGTTTCCAGGGAGCAGCAGTTTGGGTGAGTACAGGTTACAAAACACTGCTTTAATTTAGCCTTAAAACAATCAGAGAGGCTTGGAAGTAGAACATTTGCAAAAGCCTTTGGCTTCCAATAGTTGCTATGACTATGGTAGTCACGTAATTTATCATCTAAAGGGGACATTTTTGAGAAACGAAGGGCATAGTGTTAATAATTATACCAGGGCAAAGGGAAAACCAGGTGGAATGTATGGCCTGTCTATGATCATAAAATCATTCACCATCCCTGCTGACCTAAGATAAGCATCAGATAAAAGTGATCAGTGTGCTTTTGTTTTACATTTAGGACAAAATCTACAGGAAAAGCAAGTCAGGAATCAGAGTCCACATGAAAAAGGAAGAAACACAGAATAATCATTACACACACACACACACACACACACACACACAGATACACACACAGAAATTTGGAGCCTTGGAGGGGAAAGTTCCACAAAAGATAGAGCTGTAGCTGGTGTGCATCAGGAAGAGCTCCACCAGGTTCAGGAATACTGTGGAAAACAGAATGAAGTTCAGAAAGAAAGTTTCTGGGGTCAGTGCAGTGGAGTAACAAGTTAAGCCTCTGCCTACAGTACTAGCATCTCAGGTGGGTGCCAAGTTGTGCCTTGGGTGCTACACTTCCCAATCCAGCTTCCTGCTGATGTGGCTGGGGGCGGGGGGTGAAGGATGGCCCAAGTGCTTGTACCTGCGTCTGCACCAATGTGGGAGACCCAGAGGAAGATCCTGGCTTCTGGCTTTGGAATGGCTCAGCGTTGGCCATTGTGGTCATCTTGGGGATCATCCAGTAGAAGATCTCTGTCTTCCTTAGATTCTCCATCACTCTCTTTGTAACTGTCTCAGAGATAAGTAAATCTGAAACAAAACAAAAGAAACTAAAACAAAAACAGAAAGAGTTCCTTGTGTCTTCCACTTGACTGAGAACCCCTCAAGAGAGGAATGGTTTGTGATGGTGATTGTATCTTCCGTGTTTTAAAAAGATTCTTCAAAGAGGAGCCACATTACCTGTAGTAGATCTAATCTCCCTGCCATCTCTCTCTCTCTCTCTCTCTCTCTCTCTCTCTCAGTTTGGCTGTACCTGTAGGAGATGCCCAAAGCCTTGCCACCCAACTACTCCACCCTCTTTCTAATGCTGCTGGAAAGTCCTCTGTGACTGGACTTTATTGCCCAGGCCCTTCTGATCCAGTCACCTGCCTTATACTCAACCAGTCCAAGGTCCAATATCATCTAACATATTTATAACCAGCAAATATACTTTCTCAGTAGTCATTTTTTTCCTAAGAAGTGACTGGAGAGGATTATCCTTCTGATTCCCCTCCACAGAATGCTCACTGGGCTGAAAATCTTACTTCTTTGAATCACATTTTTCTCTCTCTTCTTTTCCTCCCCCTTTGCTCCCATGGTTGATTGACAGATTCTTTGACTTCTGCCTGCTCTCTTTCCTTCTCTCTTTTGGCACTGGTGCCCACTGCCAACTTACAGGATTCCTACAGATGAGGATCAGCCTGGATGTTCTGCCATGGCCAGCCAATGGGTTTCTACCAATCTGGAAGAGGAAGTGACCTGCCCCATCTGCCTGGACATTCTGAAGGACCCTGTCACCATTGAGTGCGGGCACAACTTCTGCCATTTTTGCATCACTCAGCTTCAGGAAGCTTCTAGGTATCACATCAAATGTCCCCTCTGCAAAAGTTCTATGAAAAGGGACACATATGCACCCAACTGGCTGTTGACAAATCTGATACAGAAAATTCGAGCTATGGATCCCTCTGAGAGGCAGCTGAAAGAAAAGGAGCTGAGATGTCCAAAGCATGGGGAGAAGCTGCACTATGTCTGTGAAGCAGATGGGGAATTCCTCTGTGTGGTGTGTCATGACTCAAAGGACCACAAATTACATGAATCCAGACTGATAGAAGAAGCTGTCGAGCATCACCAGGTAAGCACGGAGGCTCCACTTTGCGAATGGGAGTTTGGTGGAGATTGCAAACTGTTGTCTCCTTTCTGTGGGTTTGTTCTCTGTGGCTATTGCAAGAACTACTTAACCAGGTCCACTGAGCTCCTGGTTCTAGTCCAAGGAACTGCTGTCCTTGCAAACAAGGGAATAATGGAGGATGGAAAAAAGAGAGAAGGAGAGACAGAGAGGGGAAGATTTCCCATCCACTGGTTCACTCCCCAGGTGCAGTGCCAGTCCTAACTGAGCCGATCTGAAGCCAAGACCCAGGAACTTCCTGTAGGTCTCCAAGTTGGGTGCAGGGTCCCAAGGCTTTGGACCATCCTCTGCTACTTCCCAGGCCAGAAACAGGGAGCTGGATGAGGACACAAACTGAAACTCAAATAGGGTCTTGGTGCTTGCAAGAGGAGGATTAGCCAATTAGGCCATCTCGTCAGTCCCCCACAGATTTAAAAGAAGAATTATTTATTTTTATTATAAAGGTAGATATGCCGAGAGAAGGAGAGAAGATGATCCATAAACTGGCTCATTTCCCAAATGGTTGCAATTTCTAGAGGTGAGCTGATCCTAAGCTAGGAGCCAGGAGACTCTTCCATGTCTCTCTCCCGCATGGGTGCAGAGTCCCAAGGACTTAGGTCATCCTCCTCTGCTTTCCCCAACCATAAGTAGAGAACTGGATTAGAAGGGGAGCAACCAGGACGTGAACCTGCAGCTATATGGGATGTTGTCATTTGAATGGGGAAGATTGGCCTCTTGAGCCATGCATTGGTCCCAAGACATAGGAATTTGATTCAGAAGATATGGACTCCACATTGGGGTCTCTAAGACATTATCATGTCATGTCACATGTAGTTTGACATCAAGGAGCAGCCCCCCTCATTTACCCCACTAACTGCCCCAGCAGACAAGGGAGAAAAAAAGAGTTGAAATATAGTTCCCACTCACCTCTTCCTATACCTTGACCCTTCCCACCGTATTCAGAGATGCACATAAACATGCATCCCTTTCAAGTATGTAAGCAATATTAAAAATAAGATAAATACATAAAATAAAAAAAGATGTGGGGCTCAAGTCCAGATTTTAAGTTGTTTGTGTGACTTTCAAGGGATCTTTTGGGTTCTCTGAGCCTCAGATGCCTCACCCTTCAAATCAAACTTACATCTCTTTAAAAAAAAAAAAAGGTTTCTTTTTTTGAAAGGTATATTGAGAGAGACAGACAGACAGACAGACAGATAGACAGAGACACGGAGACGGAGAAAGGTCTTCTGTCATCACTCCACCAACTGCTGAAACAGCTGGAGCTGAGACAGTCACAAATGAGAGCTGGTAGCTTCTTCCTGGTAGCCTACATAGATGCAGGAACCCAAGGACTTGGGCCATCCTTCATTGGTTTCCCAGGTCAATAGCAGCAGACCCCAAACGTACCTCTTGAAACTTGGTAGAACAGGTGAGGGAGTGGTTTTGAGAGTTGTTTGACAGTCTTGAAGCATCATCCAAACATTACTCTAAAGAGACACAGCAATCCTCTTCTCTTTTAGGTCATGTAGGTTCATATTTCTCCCTTCCCCGAAGCTGAAGAAAGGGGTATGAATTAACACTTACTCCCAGGACTCGCAGGAGCTTCTTATCTGCTCTCTGGAGAAGGCAGATGGCTTTATGAGCCCAAGGGCAATCCAGGCAGAGCCTTGACTGAAGGTCCCTCTCCCCACAGGAGCAGATCCAGTTGCATGTGGGGATCTTGGAGCAAAAGGAGCAGGAACTTGTACACATGAAGGCTCAAGTTGACAAGAAGATCAGCCACTTCATGGTAAGGAAAAACCCCAAACTGTGTTTCTTTGTTTTTGTGTGCCAAAGGAAAAAAGTTTAAAACTACATGAAAACATTTAAAACTGAACAAACTTTCAGAAAGTGAGTTTTACGCAAACTCTTGAAACAAAAAATGATGACATAAATGATAGCAGAATGTGGCAGTAAGCATAAAGGAAGTGTTTCTATTTAAATAAATATTAAAGACTTGAGAGGAAGAGTAACAGTGAGAGTGTTAGAGGAGAGACAAAGTTTTCACTCATTGTTTCACTTTACAATGGTCTCGGTGGTGAGGAGGTGGTTAAGCAGAAGCCAGAAACTCCAAGCTTCATCCATGTCTCCCATGCAGTGATAGGAGCCCAGTGTTTGGGCTGTTTTCTCTTGTCTTCCAGGGTGCATTTGCAGGAACTAAATCAGAAGCAGAGCAGCCGGTACTTGAACCAGCACTCAAATATGAGATGCTTTTGTTGCAAACAATGTCTTAATGGGCTTTACAACAGCACTGCTGTGAGAAGTGCTTTTAAATGTGAGTTCTCAGGACCTGAATCATGGTACAGTATGATAATGTGCCTCCTTTGACAAAAGCATCACATTTGAGTACTTGTTTGAGGTCCAGCTGCTCTATATCTAATCCAGGTCCCTGCCTATGCACCTGGGAAAGCAAGAGAAGAAGGTACAAGTGCTTGTGCCCCTGCGCACACATGTGGGAGATTTGGATGGAGGTCCTGGCTCATGATTTCAATATGTCTTACCTCAGCTTGCTGTGAGCATTCAGAGAGTGAACCAGCAAAGAGAAGTTCTCTCTCTCTCAAATAAAAAAATCTCTAAGGAAAAAATAAGTTTATTCTTGGTCATCAAGATGGCGGTATAGGGTGTAGACAGGTTTGGGATGATGGAGAATCATTAGGGTGAAACACAGGGAACAGATTTCAGGAAAAGATAGGTCAGGCATTTGGCATGGCAGTACCTGGAGACCACTGTACACAGGATAGTAGGGGCAATGGTGGAGAAGTGTTGCAGTGATAGGATAATGCACCAGCAGCCAGAGAACAGTGATCTGGACTCAGGCCATCTGGGCATCCAGTGGCAACCAGGGATCCTGTACTGGCTAGAGTGTCTGCAGCAGCCAGGTGAGTGTGGGAGTTGACCGGGAACTTCAGAAGTGAATACAGGCAAAGAACTGCTGATGTGTTTGGCCCAACAATGAGGAGAGCAGGAGCAGTGACTCCAAGACAAAATTCAGGGACGGGGTGGATCTCACATCACAGACTCTCAGTAACGCCAGATGGGACACCATTTTGTGTAGTAGTGCAAAGAGTGCGGATTTGAAGGGACTGTCAAGAACGGGCTCATTTCTGGCTAATCACACTGAACTTATCCCATAGGAAAAACAGTGTCAGCTTTGCATCCTGCTGGGACTGTGTGGTACCTGGATCTGACAGCCAGCAACCCCAGATCTTCATCAGTGCCCTGTCAGATGTCATTTTGTTTAGAGGGGCAAAGACTGAAGGGGGGGGAGAGGGTCGGGAGGAGCAGAGGTAACTGCACATGTGCTAAATCAGTAGCGAGCAGGTGCCATTTTCACAGGACCAGACACTGAGGGACTGCTGGGACCATAGCTGAGCTGTGCAAGCACTTAAACTGAGAGCAAAATCACTTTTAGCTTCATGCAGGTCCCTTGGAGAAAATAGTTCCATTGTGGCACTCTACAGGCTCCACCCAAAATAGTTTCAGCAGGCGGCCCTCAGACTTGATGACCAGCTGGTGTCGGCAAGATCAGCGCCACCAACAATCCAGTTATTTAGCATAGCTGGTATTTCCCTACTCTAGGACACTGCTTGTTTACATAAAACTGACTTGCAGACCTGTGGTAACACAACTTAGAAACCACCCTAAGGAGAAGAACCTGCTAACAAGAACAGCAGTGACCAAAGGTAAAAGAAGAGACAAAGGCACAATAAATATTACTGAAGATTCTCGAGCAAAGGAGCAAAAGCTCCTCAGACTTAGCTGAGTTAACTGAGGAGGACATCAAGAAATGGGAGATATAGAATTCAGAATACTTGTTATAAAGCTTCTTATCAACAATGGGAAGCACATACATGATTCAAGGAATTTAAGGAATGTGTCACAACTGAAATAGTAGCAATCAATCAAGTAAAAGCTGACATATTAGAAATTAAGAACACAATGGAACAAATTAAAAGTAAAGTGAAAAGTCTTAATAACAGAATGAGTGAAGCAGAATTTCAGAGTTGGAAGATATTTCCCGTCACCAGGGGGAAACAAACAAAAAGCTGGAACAGAACTGAGTTGAGCTTAAAAAAAAGTATCCAAGAATTAAAAGACATGATTAGAAGGTCCAATATAAGAGTTATGAGAGTTCCAGAACATGTAGAAAGAGAAGCTAGAGTTAAAGGTGTGTTCAATGAAATAATAAACAAAAACTTCCCTAATGTGGAGAAAGAATTAGAAAACAATATACAGGAGGGGCACAGAACTCCCAACAGAGTTGAACAAAAGTAAACTTCACCTTTTCACATGATAATCAAGCTCTCTTCAGTTGAACATAAGGAAAACATCCTTAAATTTGCACGTGAAAAAAATCAAGTGACCTGTAGAGGAATCCCAATTAGATATACTGCTAATTTCTCAGTGGAAACGCTACAGTCCAGAAGAGAATGGAGTGACATATTCTAGATTCTAAAAGAAAAAAAATTGTCAGCCCAGAATAATGTAGCCAGAAAAGCTCTATTTTGCCATTGAAAATGAGACAAAAATTTTCCACATTAAAGAAAATTCTCAGAATTTGCCTCTTCTAAATGAGCCCTACAAATGATACTCAAAGATGTCCTCTTGAAAGAGAAAAGGAATAGCAACTAGCAAAATCAAAGGCAAATGTGGAGAACACCCCCCTCAAAGGCCAACAGAAGACTAAATCGAACAACAACCCATTGCTGAAATGACAGGACCAATTTCTACCCATTCATATTACATTGAATGTAAATGCCTTAAACTCATCAATCCAATGCCATAGATTAGAGGACTGGATCAAAACCCAAAACTCATCTGTTTGTTGCTTACAGGAGACACATATCACCAATTAAGATCAGTGTAAACTGAAAGTGAAAGCATGGAAAAAGATACTCCAAACTAATGGTAAGGAAAAATAAATAGCATAGTCATTCTAATAACAGATTATATAGACTTGAATGTGAAAAACATTAAAAGAGGTAAAGGACACACATAATGATCAAAGGATCCATTCAGCAAGCAGATATCACCATAATAAATGTATACACACCAAATGCCAAGGCATCTTGCTATGTGAAACAAATACTAATGAATTTCAATGGAGAAATAGACTCCAACACAATAATTATTGGGGGACTTTAATACCCCCTTTAACATCAGACAAATCGACAGTTCGGATACTCAACAAGGAAACAACAGAACATAGTTGATATCTGCTGAACCTTTCATCCTGCAGACAATACACTCTTTTTAAAATCAGTACATGGAAACTTCTCCAGAAATGACCATATTATAGGCCACAAGACAAGCCTCAGCAGATTTTTAAAAAGTCAAAATTATATCACGCATCTTCTCAGACCATCAGGGAGTCAAACTAGAGACCAAGAAGTCAAAAGAACCAGGAGGACATGCAAACATTTCCAAACAATAGAAAGCAATTTTTCCAAACCCTTTTTATGAATCCAGTATCATCTTAATACCAAAACCAGACAGAAAAACAACAGAAAAAGAGAAATACAAACTGATACCTTCAATGAACATAAACGCAAAGATCCTCAACAAAATACTAGGCAAAATGATCCAACAGCACATCAGGCTGATCACTCATCCAAACCAGGTGGGATTCATCCCCTGGTTTGCAGGAATGATTCAACATTCACAAATCAATAAATGTGGTACATCACAACAACAAATAGAAAAATAATAACCATATTATCATCTCAATAGATGCAGAGAAATCAGTTGATAAAATTCAACACCACTTCATGCTGAAAACCCTAAGCAAGATAGGCATAGAAAGGACATTCTATAACACAAAAGCAATACACGAAAAACCCAACTCTAGTATCATACTCAATGGGGAAAGATTAGAAGCCTTTCATCTAAGATCTGGAAATAGACAGTGATGTCACGGTCACCACTACTCTTCAATATAGTATTGGAAGTCCTTCCCAGAGCTATTAGGCAAAAAAAAAAAAAAAAAGAATTAAAGGAATTCAACTTGGAAAAGAGAAAATGAAATTATGATTTTCTACGTAGGAGAACCAAAAGACTCAGTCAAGACACTATTGGAACTAATAAGAGACTTTTGCAGGGTAGTAGGATACAAAATTAATGAACACAAGTCGATGGCACTAGTGTACACAAGTAATTCCATGGATGAGAAAGAAATTGCAAGTAAAGTCTCCTTTAAAATAGAGGAGAGGAATCTTAAATACCTAGGAATTAAGCTAACTAAATATGTGAAAGACTTCTATGATGAAAACTCTAAAGCATTAGAAAGGAAATAGAGGAAGACCTTGAAGATGGAGAAACTTACCATGTTCCTGGATTGGCAGGATCAATATCATCAAAATGACCATGTTACTAAAAGCAATATACAGATTCAATGCAATCCCAATCAAAATCCCAGCAATATTCTTCTTCTCAGAAATAGAAAAAAGATGCAAAAGTTCATCTGGAATCACAAGAGACCACAAATAGCTAAAGCTATCCTGAAAAATAGAAATCAAGCTGGAGGAATCACAATTCCTGACCTCAAGACATGCTACAGAGCAGTGGTCATCAAAAGAGTCTGGTACTGGTACAGAAACAGAGAAGAAGATCAACGGAACAGAATAGAAACACCAGAAGGGAGCCCACACATGTGTAGCCGACTAATTCTTGGCAAGAAAACTAAAAATAATCCAGGAAAAAGCCCGGTTTCTTCAACAAATGCTGTTGGGACAATTGAATAGCAACTTGTAGAATTAAGAAGCAAGAGTTGCACCTGTCACTTACACAAAAATCAGCTCTAAATGTATCAAGGACTTAAATCTACACCCAAAAATCACCCAACTATTAAAGGAAAACATAGAAAACACACTCCAAGATACAGCAACAGGAAAAGACTTCTTAGAAAAGATGCCAAAAGCAAAGGCAACCAGAGCTAAAATGAAGAAATGAGACTACATCAAACTAAAAAGCTTCTGCACAGCAAAGGAAACAATTAACAACATCAAGAAGCAACCAACAGAACGGCACAAAATTTTTTCATACTACACAAGTGATAGGGGACTAATATCCAGGATTTACACAGAACTTCAGACCCAGGGAGCAAAAATTTAAAAAAAACCTATAACAAAATGGGTGAAGGAAATGAACAGACGTTTTTCAAAAGAACAGATTCAAATGGCTAACAGACATATGAAAAGATGCTCAGGCTCCTAGCCGTCACAGAGATATAAAGGAACACCATGTTGAAGTACCACCTAACTCCAGTGAGACTAGCCTACATTCAGAACTTGAATAACACCACCTGCTGGAGTGGATGTGGGGAGAAAGGCACCTTCCTTCACTGCTGGTGGGAATGTAGGCCAGTACAACCACTGTGGAAATCAGTAGGAAACATAGGAAGCACTCTCCAAGATACAGGAACAGGGAAAGGCTTCTTGGAAAAGACACCAAAAGCACAGACAGTCAAAGACAAAATAAACAAACAGGGCTACATCAAACTAAAAAGCTTCTGCACAGCAAAGGAAACAATTAACAACATCAAAAAGCAACCAACAGAATGGGAGAAAAATCTTTGCACACTTCACAAGTGATAGGGGACTAATATCCAGGATTCCCAAAGAGCTTCAGAAACCCAGGGAGAGTAAAAAACAAACCAACCAACCAACAAACAAAACTTTGAATGTGTGAAGGAAATGAGCATTATTTTTTAAAGAACAAATTCAAATGACTAATAGACATATGGAAAGATGTTCAAGCTCCCCAAATGTTAGGGAGACACAAATGAAAACCACATTAAGTTTCCATCTATCTCCAGTGAAGTTGGCCTACATTCAGAACTCTACTACAACACCTGCTGGCATTGATATGGGGTAAAGGTACCCTTATTCACTGCTGGTGGGAGTGCAGGCTAGTACAACGACTATGGAAATCAGTATGGAGCATGTTTAGAGAACTACAAATAAACTTGCCATATGACGCAGCTATCCTGCCCCTAGGAATATATCAAAGGAAATGAAATCTCCATATGAGAAGGGAATCTGTAATCCTATATTCACAGCAGCACAAACTACAATAGCAAATACATGGAAACAACCCAGATGTCTGTCCAAAAAAGAGTGGTTAAAGAAACTGTGGTACATCTACTCCATGGAATATTACTCAGTCGTCGAAAAGACTGAAATCATACCATTTGCAACCAGATGGTCCCAACTAAAGACCATTATGCTCAGTAAAATAAGTCAATCCCAAAAGAACAAATGGCATATATTCTTTCTGACATAAGGCAGCCTTCATGTAAACTGTAAGATCAGTAACCCTTTTCATCCTGTGTTTGGCTGGATTCCATGTGTTTTGATGTTTTTGGTTTTGTTTTCATTTCTTTCAAAAAGTTTCTTTACTCTTGTTGAATTCATTGCTGGCTCATGGATCACACAGTGGTATCATATTACCCAAGAGGCTTTTGAGTTATCTTTTTCATTTCTTCACTCATGCGTTGGTTATTCAGTGGTGCGAAAACCAGTCTGGGGGTGAGATTTTGGGGAGAGGGCAGGGAAATCCCAGACCCTATGGAATTGTACTATAAAATTCAAAACTAAAAAAAGAAAGTTTGCTCTCATCTATTCTCAAGTTCTACATGGGTACTCAGTATAATCAAATACAAAAATTAAAATGGAATAGCATCAGTGGAATGTCAGTTGAGAACATCTCTTCTCTATGTCCCTATAATTGTACCAAGGCCCAGGTGAATATTGAGAAGCAACGGATCCACACAGAATTCAAGCACCTGCAGCAGGTACTGGACGAGAATAAGAACTTCCTCCTGTCCAACATCGAGCATCAGGCTCAACATGGTGTCAAGGAGTGTGAGCAGTATAACGCTGACACCCAGGCGCAGCTCAGCTTGCTAAGGGATCTCATGGATACTCTGAAGGCCAAGCAGCAGATGCCACCCAGACAGCTGCTGCAGGTGAGCTCTCAGGGGTGGAATCACTGCAAAGCAGAGCTCGGGGATTGTGTCTGGCCAGCACACCTGTGTCTGGCAGAATCCTCAACACTGCCTCTAGGGCTGCACCATCCAGCAGAAAGAGTCGAAATGGTAATATGTTGTTTGGAACAGTTGTATGAGCCACACGTGTGATTTACAATAGGTAACCCACATAAATTATTTAGAAATATACTGTCAGTTACTGACCAGCATAATTTAGAAATGTAACATGAACCACATGTATAATTTAGAAATGTATTGCAAGCCACATAGGAAGAGCTTCAGCATGCAGAAGGCCAGGTGTTTGGTGCAGTGTTTGACATGCGACTTGGAGATTCCATGTTCCGTGTGGGTGAGCCTGGTTGGAACCCTACCTCCACTTCCCACCCAGCTTCCTGCTAATGTTGGCCCTGCAAGGAAGCAGTGGATGAGGCAAGTCCTGGGATCCAGCAACCAGTGTGAGAGACCTGGGCTGTGTTTCAGGCTCCTGACTGCCACCTGGCTAAGCCCTGGTTTTGTGAGCTTTTAGGGAATAAAGCAGCAGATGGAGCATCTTTCAATTGTCTCTGTCTCTCTACCTTTCAGATAGATGAAAATTATATTTTAAAATATGTGGGACTGGAGCTGTGGCTTGGTGAGTTAAGAAGCTGCCTGTAGCACCAGCATACCATATGCATTCTGGTTAGATTCCAGCTGCTTCAATTCTTATCCAGTTCCCTGCTAACGTGCTTGGGAAAGCAGCAGAGGATAGGTCAAAGCCTTGGGACCCTGCACCCATGTGCGAGATGCAAAAGAGTCTCTTGGTGTTGAATTAGCTCAGCTCCATCTGTTGCAACCACGTGGAAACTAATCAGCAGATGAAAGATATTTCCTTCTGTCTCTTCTTCTCTTTGTAAATCTGCCTTTCCAACAAAAATAAATCTCCCATTTGTTAAAAATCCATGTGCAAAATAATTGTAAATAGACTTCAAAATATTGACCACAAAAGAAATTTTTTTTCTTAAAGGTTTTATTTATTTACTTGAAAGGCAGTGTTACAGTGAGAGAGGGAAAGACAGTAAAAAAGAGAGAGAGATCTGCTATTATTGGTTCATTCCCCAAATGGCCACAGTGGCCTGGACTGTGCCAGGCAAGAGCCAGAAGCTTCTTCTGGGTTTTGTGAACCATTGTGCTGGTTGGAATGTTCATTCTTTTCTTTCAAGTAATTTCATGCAAATTTACTCCTGTCTTTTCCCTGGCCCAGTGTATAGGGCTCCCCTGCTAATTTAAGTATCAGACAAAATTTATTTCCAAAATGTTATTCTCTTTCTAATCGTCAATGGTTCTTGTTGGTGTCTAACCATGTCTTCACTTGGAGTCATATGAGCACTTCATGGAGGTGTCCCTGTGAGTGAGAACAGGGGAGAGAAGAGACAGAAAAGTCTCAGAGATGTTCTCAACCCTCTGGCTCTGCCCACACCTACTTGCCTCTCGGCTCCTCATGGCCACAAGAGTCAGCTAGTGCTGAGATCATACTGTTTGTCTTTCTCTTCCAGGACATCAGAGGCACCTTGAAAAGGTATGATGGTCAGCCCACATGCATGCTGCCCCCTGAATCATTCAAGGATCAATATCCACCTTAGCTTCAGATAATCTCAAATGTTACCTGCTCACCAACGCCCACACCCCGGGATTTTGCACTCAGAGGTTTATGCTGCATTAGGAAAATCTGAGCTGAGCAAATGAGTTTGCTGTGAGAGACCTGAGCTGTTCTCCCCATCTCCCTGGTCCTCCTCCAGGCCCCCTGCTCAGCTGGATGCCTCCTGGTCCCTTCTCTCTTTCCCACTGCTTTTCTCCTTCCCCTTTCACGTCCAAGTCTCCTTGGGCAGCTTCTCACACCAGCCTATCATCAGTGACAACCTATCATTAGGGAGCTCAATGCTCCCTAGTCCTTGATACTCACTACCACTACCACTGCCATGTTTCCATCCTCACAAGGCTGGGTCCAAAGGACCAGACTCCCACTCAGTGCTGCCTGTTCTCCTAGGAGTGAAGAGTTTCAGGTTCAGTTTCACAGCAAAACCCCAATTCCTCTGGGCCTGGATCAACAACTCAATGAAGCAAAGTCCAGACATGACTCCGTGATTGAGAGCCTGAGGAAGTGTGAAGGTAAGAAAGAGGCTGAGGGGGCCTCTGTTCCCCCACCTGGAAGAGTCTCTCCTGTCAGCAGCTATCACAGCATCCATCCCATCCAGGGTCTATGAGCCTGGTCATGCCTGCCTCAGGCATTTTCCCATGCTCTGTTCCACATGGTGCTTGTCTATAATCATCCCTCACTGATTCTTATATTGCCCTTCTGGCCTAGGTCAGTGACCATGGGAAGAGAGGCAGTAGTGCCTTTCCAGGGCTCCCAGACTCTATGATGCTTAGCCCGTGGTTGCCTTTTTGCCTGTTTCTGTGATACATACTTCTATTTCTTACTACAGAAAATGCATTCATAATTGATGATGTTTTGAAGATTCTGTCTTGCAGGAAAGCAGATCACGCAGGACAGAGTGTAAGGTTGGGTATTGAGTCACATACTCATTAAGAAGTATTCTTGGTTTGCAACTAGGATTAAGGGTTGGTATTTGTAGGGATGCCCTTCAATGTGAAGGCCTGTGTTCTATGCCAAGAGTAAGGTGGCTGAATAGAGTCTTCTTCCTAGGACCAGTACAAGAGCTTCCCCTCCCCCAAATCTCCCATGCACTAAATGCAAAAGGAAGGTGTCCCCGAGGAACAAGCCCCCTTCCACATTTACCCAGGAATCCCCACTTTTTACTTTGTTATTGTTTATTTTTAATATTTTTTCATTATTTCAATGATGGTTGATTGTTTCGAAAGACAGAGCATCAAGAGGATGGGAGAGACAGAAAAAGAATAAGAGAGACAGTCCATGTGCTGGCTCATTCTCTAAATGACTGAGACAGCAGGGCCTGGGCCAGGCTGAAGTAGAAGCCAGGAATTCCATGTGGGTTTCCCACAAGGATGGCAGAATCCAAACACTTGGGCCGCATTCTGCTATTTTCTCAGTTCTTTGCAGGGTGTTGGATTGAAAGTGGAGTGGCAGAAATGATCACCCAATGGAGAGGTGGCCAAATGGGATATTAACATCATAGGTTTCAGATTAACTTGCCATGCCACAATATTGACTCCAGTAGTGCAAAATGTAAAATTATAGGAGGCATGGGCCTAGTGCAATGGCTCAAAGGCTAAATACTCACTTTGCCAATGCTGGGATCCTATATGGGCATTGGTTTGTTTACTGGCTGCTCTACTTCCAATTTAGCTTGTTGTTTATGGCCTGGGAATGCAATAAAGGGTGTACCAATATCTTACAGCCCTGCACCCATGTGGGAGACCCAAAGGAGGCTCCTGGCTCTTAGCTTCAGATTGGCTCAGCTCCTGTTGTTGCAGCTATTTGGGGAGTGGACCAGCAGATGAAAGACCTTTCTCTCTGTCTCTCTTCTCTGTAATCTGATCTGCCTTTCCAACTACCACAAGAAAAAATTAAATAAAAATTATATGATTCATGTTTAAATGTTCATGGAAAGCATGTATTAAAAAATCTACTTCAAAATGGTTTGAACCAAATAGAACTTTAAAAAATCATTTATTTTTAAATTGGAATGTCAGATTGTTTTAAATTTATTTTTTTAAGATGTATTTATTTTTATTGGAAAGTCAGATATACAGAGAGGATCAGAGACAGAGAGGAAGATCTTCCGTCCTATGGTTTACTCCCCAAGTGACCACAACAACTGCTGCTGAGCCAGTCTGAAGCCAGGAGCAAGAAGCTCTTCCAGGTCTCCTGCATGGGTGCAGGGTCCCAAAGCTGCAGCCATTCTTGACTGCTTTCCCAGGCCACAAGCAGGGAGCTGGATGGGATGCAGGGCCACCGGGATTAGAACCAGCGACCATATGAGATCCCGGCGCATTAAATGCTAGGACTTTAACCACTACACTATTGCGCCGGGCCCAGATTGTTTTAAATTTAAAGATTTGTTTTTTATTGGAAAGTAAGACTTACAGAGAGAAGGGACAAAGAAAAAGATCCTCCATCTGATTGAGAGCAGAGAAATCTTCCATCTCCTTAGAATGTGTGAGGAAGACGTGAAGTATAACCTATCAGAAACATAACAGATAAATTATTGATAACAGACTCGAATCAGTATTAGAGAATAGTAAAACTACAAAGACATACAGGGGGAATCAAGAGCAATCCTGACAACCTAATAGGAGGTCATATGCACAGAGCAAGGGGGGACCCCAGAGTGAAACAGGTGGACAGGAGGAGGCTTGTATCCCAACCCTGGAGACTCTCAGATCCTCACCAAGGATTATCAGTGTGGGCACCAAGGACTAAATCCCAACTGCCAAGGAGACCACGGGGAACTGGAATGCCTTTGGAGGCCAAGAACTCTGAGGTCATCCACCCCTGTTTGGATCTATCACATAGGATGGAAGAAGCCCAAACCCTTCCTCGCAGGATCCAAGGTCATCGAAACAACAGCTAGGAGCCCTGAGCAGCCCGCAGAAACATAAGAACAGTAAGCTTCCTTCAGGACTAGGGAAAGGAGCTTGCTCTGGTCCTCACTTAGTTCCAACTTTGGATCCCCACCCTATCTTGCAATGACCATCAGGGTCGCTCCAGAGCCCCCCACCCCAACACAAACACACACACACACACACACACACACACACACACACACACAAATTGGAATTGATAGACAGAGAACAACAAGGAAAGCTTGGAACCAGACAGGAAACGGTCAGCGTGGACTCACACATACCTTACTAGGTAGGACACAAAGATTAGTTACTCCTCACTAAGGTTCTGCACACCCTTCCTAAAACTGTTCTGTACCTCAACTGTTGACAGATGCCTTGTTAGAGTTGTAAGCCAGTTTAGACTATCCCAAAATCTGCCAAGTTCAGCAAAATTAAGCTTCCATACTATAAACTGCTGAATGCTAAAATGATAATAGACACGAGGCAGCTGAATAGTACCCTATAGCCATGTCAAAGTGTATAGCAGCCTGTTCTGTATATAAACTAAAATAGAAATGTCAATGAAGTAGTCACCTGATGTGGTTAAGAACTTGAATTTTTTAACATATTGATTACTCAATACCATGTCAATTAATTCCATAATGTTGTAAATTGTTGTTGATGTTATGTTGGGGCTTTTCATTGGAGGGGATGATATTCTGCCAGCTCTGCCTTCAGACCAGAGATGGTTTCCCCAAGAAACCATTGAATTTATCTGGACAATAAGATGCTAGACTCTATGCTTACAATGAAAGAATCTTGACTGAATTTGAACTGTAATACTGCAACAAGGTGGAGGAATCCACCATGTTGGGAGGGCATAAGGAGGGGTTGGGGGAATCCCAGAGCCTATGAGATAGTGTCACATAATGCAATGTAATCAATTAAAACAAAATGATCCTCCATCTGCTGATTCATTCCCCAAGCATCCACAATGACCAGAGCTGAGCTGATCCGAAGCCAGGAGCCAGGAGTTTCCCTGGGTCTCCCACGCAAGTGCAGGGTCCCAAGGTCTTGGGCCATTCTCCACTGCTTTCCCAGACCAGAAGCTGGGTTGGTATGTGGAGCAGCTAGAATTTGAACTGGCAAGCATATAGGATTTCAGCTCATGCAAGGTAAGGATTTTAGCTACTAGACTAATGTGCCAGGCACCCAGAATGAACTTTCTAAAAATTGTCTAAGGAGCTAGCATGATGGCTCAATTAACTAGTCCTTTGCCTGCAAGCACCGGCATCGCATATGGGTGCCAGTTCATGTCCTGGCTGTTCCACTTCCTATCCAGCTTGCTGCCTGTGGCCTGGAAAAGCAGTAGAGGAAGACTCAAAGCCTTGCATCCCTGCATCCATGTTGGAGCCCCAAAAGAAACTCCTAGCTCAGGATTTCTGACCAGCTCCTAACTCTGGTTGTTGTAGCTATTTGGGATGTGTACTAGCAGTTGGAATGTCTTTTCTCCATCTCTCCTCCTCTCTCCTCTCTCTGAATCTGCCTTTTCAATAAAAATAAATAAACCTAACAAAATTGTTTAAAAGGTAGATAATTGGAGGAAAAAAAGCAGCAATCTTCCATCCATTCATTCACTTCACTAAATGTCTACAACATCTAGGGCTGGCCCAGAAAAGTCAGAAGTCAAGAACTCAGTTTGGGTCTTCCATGTGGGTGGCAGGACCTAAGCGTTTGGGCAATCACCTGCACCTCCAAGGATGCCCATTTGTGGGGAGCTGTAATTGGAAACAGAGCTGGGCATCAAGTGTCCTAAGAAGCATGTTTAACACTGCACCTGAATCTCACTCAAATTTATCTTATAATATCATTTTTCCGTGGATTTGTAAAAATATTTGGTTTTTTTTTTTTTTGAAAGGCAGAATCACAAAGAAAAGGAGAGGCAAGGAGCGCAATATAGTCTGTTTGCAGGTTTATTACCCAAATTGCACCATCTAGAGCTGGGTTGGTGGAAGCCAGGAGACAGGAGCTTCTTCTGGATCTCCCATGTGGGTTCAGGGGCCCAAGGCATTAGGTCATCTTTTGCTGCTTTCCCAAGCAATACAAAGGGTGCTGTATCAGAAATGGAGAAGCTGGGACTTGATTCTGTGTCCATATGAGATACCCCAATGTGACAGATACACCTTGGTACTGGTTCTCATGAATTTTTAAGTTCCACAAAATGGGTGGTTCCTGCTTCCAGGTCAAATCACATGTCAACTGGACAGTTCTGGGCTGTGTGGATACTTTAGGGAAGCAGGGCGGCAAGGCTGGGAGTCTCAAATGCACCGAGAATGAGAGAGACAATGCCAGCTCACTACTCGCAGGTGTTTTACATAACGGCATTGTGGTGCAACCCTGGATTCTTTGCTCAGCTTCCACAGCCTCTCATGCCTTCTGTTCTCCACCCCCCAGAGCAGCTCCAGGCTGACAGGAAGAAACACCAAGGCAAAATCCTCCAAGACATGAATGCAACCCACAGGCAGAGTGGTAAGTGGAGGTACAGAGCTGCTTCCTGCCCCTGGGGTAGAGTGAGGACCCCTAAAGGGGAAGAGGAGAGAAGTCTTGCACAAAAGAAGAAATAACAGGCCTACGAGGATATTTTATACTTTTAGACCCAGAAAACTCACAGCCCCACAAAAATATCCCAAAGTAATAAAAATCATCAACTAGTCTCTTCCCACTTCAGAGCTAGGGAAGAAAAGAATGGATCTAGACATGTTGGACCCAGGACCTTCTTTGCCATCTTAGCTGCCCTGCTTGGCAATACCCATGCTCCTGGGAGAGGTCTCCATTAGGAGGGACAAGGACTAGGTGCTCCACTTCATGTGGGTATTCAGTTTCCCACTATCAGGTCCCAGTGGCACAGGCCAACAATGACCCTCTCCTACTGAACCTGAGGCTAACTGAAAAGTTTTCGCACTTCCTTTTGGGGCAGCAGTAGTGTCCCCTGGAAATCTCTGGTACCAGTTATTCGTGATTGGCAGGGTAATTTCCTTACTATACTTTGTACCCTCTGAGTTTAAGCATGAAAGTTAGCTTTCCTTCTCCTACTCCTAGTGTTCCTGCTTGAGAAAAATAATCCTAATGCAGACAGAAGCTCACAACCTGAGCTAGCAACCCCAGGTAGGAGTCTGGTCTTGAAAACAGGAGACTGTGGGGCTGAAGAGGGATACAAACCTGGTGTGTGCTCCAAGGTGGGCACAGCCTGCAGAGGGAGCTGGGGACATGTGTCTTTGCCCTCACCACAGCTACTAGGACCAATGATTGATCTCAGTTCCAAACTGAGGTGGAGAGGAAAGGGAAAGAACAGAAAACAGGGATGAAAGTCAGAGGGAGGAGGTTGGTGAAGGAGGAGACGCTGTGACCTCCACAGGTCTTGAAGAGGTGTCAGGTCTCACAGGTGATATGAAGTGTGGTGTGATTTGGGTCATGAATGCCTCCCTCTGTCCCTGCTGATTTTCCACTGACTATAGGAGCTGGGATCCCCAGAGTGAGATCCTTGAACTTTTGAGGACAGTGGGGGATTCCTGCCATTTTGCTCCTACTGACCTGGCTCTTCTCCTTTCCTTCTGTCAAAGGTGACCCATCAGCCAACATGGGATCCTCAACTTTCCACATCACAGCTCAATGTCAACCTCGAATTCGGTCCCACTCTGAGATAAACAGTGCTAGGCCAGAATTCAACTTGCCACGAAGCAGAGCCTCTCTTGCCTGGGTTCCTAAAAACACACAATTTGCTGATACCTCGGGCACCGGGAGCTTACGACGTCAGGCAAGCTTTGCCGAACTCCAGCCGGTGCTAAGTGAGTGACTGTGTAGAAGCTCCCAGCCTAAGGCAACAGTGACCCCAGATAGGAATCTGCTCTAGCCTGTGGGGGTAGAAAGTATACAAAACCCATGGGTGGGTAAAGGTGGACAGAGCCTGCAGAGGGAGCTGCAGGATATGTGTCCTCGCCCTCACCACAGCTGCAGGGACCAATGACTGTTCTCAGTGCCAACCTGAGTTGGAGAGAAAAGGGAAAGAACAGAAAACAGGAATGAGGGTAAGAGGGAGAAGATTGGTGGAGGAGGGGACTCTGTGGCCTCCACAGGCCTTGAAGATGTGTCAGGTACCTTGAGTGGTCTAGGCAGACGTTAGGTTTGCTGTGCGTTGGGGTGTACATGCCTCCCTGTCCACTTTCCACTAACTGTAGGAGGTGGTAGCCCCGGAGTGAGCTCCTTGAGATCGTGAGGGCGGTGGGGGATTCCTACCCTCTTGCTCCCACTCATCTTGCTCTTCTTTCCTTCTCTGTCAAAGGTGACCCAACAAACAACTCAGGATCCTCAACTCTCCACCCCCCAGCTCAATTACAACGCAAGATGAACAGCTATAGACCACAACTGAACCTGCCGGGAAACAGAGCCTCTCCTACTTGCGTACCAGGGAACACCCAAGTCACCAACACCAGGAGCCTCCGAGGTCCCAAGAGCACTGCTGACCTCCAGCAACTGCAGAGTGAGTGTCAGAGGCTATTGGGTGCTCCATCTTGTGGGGAACTAAGGGAAGGGTCTGGGCTCCTGGGATTGGGTGTCAGGGTGGTGGAAGTGGTTTTGATCACTCTCAGGAGGGAAGGACTCATTCTTAGGAGAAGCCGCAATTATGCTGGCCTTCTGACTGTTACCTGGCCTGTGGTGCCCTCTCATGGGCAGATGAGGCCCCTGAAGCTGTGTCTACTCCCTCTCGCTTCTCCAGAGTTTAAGTCCACAAAGAAGTTAAGGCCTACCTGGTCACAGATGACAGAACCCATCCCCATGATAAAATCTTCTGCGTGGGGACTTGACCCAGGCTGCACCTCTTTCTCCTCCTCTTCTCACAGCCCCTGTGACCTTCGACGTGGCCTCAGCTCACCCTGGACTCAGCCTTTCCTGGGATCTGAAAACGGTGACAGCAGCTGTGATCTCTCAGAACCACTCGATATTTCCAGTAAAGCAGCAGTCCTTCTACCCATCTCGTTGCATTCTGGGATCTCCAGGCTTCTCCACTGGCCGACACACCTGGGAGGTGGAGCTCAGTGGGCTCAAGGGGGACGGGGCTGGTGTCGTGGGTGTGGCTTGGGAAAAAGTGCCAAGGCAGGGCAGCTTGACCCTGGAGCCCGCGAGTGGCTTCTGGGTGCTGCAAATCGTCAGCAACTTAGAGTGCCAGGCAATCACTGGGAAAGATTCACGGGAGAACCTCCCAGTCTGCTCCAGCAGAGTGGGTGTCTACGTGGATTTTGAGGGCAAGGAGGTCACCTTCTATGACGCGACCACCAAGAACCACATCTACACTTTCCACACCTCCTTCCCGGGAAAGATTTTTCCATTTTTCAAGCTGCTGTTCTCTGGCACCCAGATCACCCTGAGCCCCTAGCTGTGCTCTTTAGTCATCCTATGCGACTCTTTGGGGGCACCCCCACACTGGGCAGTACCATTGACACCAGGTTTCCAGAAGACTGAGGTATTATGTGAGTGACTCCACTCTACTCATTTTTTTTTTGTTTCTTTGTTTGTTTCTTTGTTTTTAACATTTAGCTATTTTGGGACCTGGACCAGTAGCCTAGTGGCTAAGTCCCCGCACTGCAACCCCTGAGATTCCAGATGGGCACACATTCCCACACAGCTCCCTGCTTGTGACCTGGGAAAGCAGTCGAGGATGGCCCAAAGCCTAGAGACACTCCACCCAAGTAGGAGAACTGGAAGAAGCTGCTGGCTTCTGACTTCAGATTGGCTTAGCCCCTGCCATTGCAGCCACATGGGGAGTGAACCACCAGATGGAAAATCTTTTTCTTTCTGTAAATTTGCCTTTCCAATAAAAATAAATAAATCATCTTAAAATGCATTTTTTTATTGAAAAGATAGATTTTACAGAGAGAAGGGACAGCAGGAGAAAGTTCTCCCATCCACTGGTTCATTCCCCCAGTGGCAACTGAGCTAAGCTTAACAAAAGCCAGAAGCCGGGAGCTTCTTTCAGATCGCCCATGCATTAGAGAATCCAAAGAACTTTGTTCATCATCCACTGTTTTCCCAGGCCATAAGCAAAGAGATGGATTAAAGTGAAGCAGTCTGGACATTAGTCAGCAACCACAGAGATGCTGGAAGTTGCTTACAGAGAATTATCCAACTGAATCATCAAATCAGCTCCAGGGAACCTGTGTTAGATGTGCTCCCAGTTGGAGCTCTGAATCCTGGTCCCCATCCCTGACATACTTTCCTCAACTCTAGGCTCTCTATCCCTTAGCTAGCAGTTCCTCTCTCTCCCCCAACATCATCTCAAGTCCACTCTGAATTGAAGATGGACACATTAATGAGAAGGAGTCCTTAGGGTATCAGGCTGGCCTGCAAAACTCTGGATGACAAGACTCAGAATCCAGCCATCAGCCTTGGAGCTAAAGTCCTCCCTCAAGGCTCTAATTTGAGATGTCTTACAATACTTTCCACAAAACCCTCAATAACAACCAGCCTAGCTGTAGGCCCCTGCAGTCAAGCTCTTTGCTTCCACATTTCCAGAGCAAGCTGGTCTCCTGCCACCAATCCCAGGAGGCACTGGGGCCCAACCAGAGACTCCCCTACACCTGCCCCAGGAGGAGTTCATGTCCTCTTCAGTTCTCTGCAAGGTCTGGGAAGTGAGCAATAGCTGCCTGGCTCTTTGCTGTGCATCTGGCAAAATTAGTTACTGTCTCCCACCATTCTGATGTGAGCAGTTGGCTTGCTACCTGTCTGCTGAGTGAACATAATTTGGAGGGTTGTAGAAAAATTCTTCCAACCAGGCTGGTGAGATGTTCTACCATACCTAACCCTGTGATCTGAGATAAAGCATACCCACTGTCTGTGTAAGCACTGTCTGTGACAGGACAAGACAGGGAACAACTCAAGTGTCCATCAGCAGGTTATGGTTTAAAACTGTGATGAGGAAGCCTCCAGCTGCGTTCTGGTTGAGACACAGGTACAAGAGACTGGACAACTGACCCAAGATTGCCCTTTCTACTCTACCATCCAGCTGCTGAAGGTCCCATGGCTCTGAACTTGGCTCTGTTCACCATCCTTTCCTGACATCTGAAAACTCTGATCCTGGGCTTGTGTCTCAGCAGTTCAGCCATGCCTGTCCCTGTGCCTTGTGTCCATTTTGTACATGAGGACTTATCTGCATGTTGTTATTGGTTGGCTTCTTTCTAAAAATTTTTATTTTTGTTTTTTAAATAATTTTTTATTGGAAAGGTGGATATACAGAGAAGAGGAGAGACAGAGAGGAAGATCTTCCATCCAATGGTTCACTCCCCAAGTGACCGTAATGGCTGGAGCTGAGCCAATCTGAAGCCTGGAGCCAGGAGCTTTTCCAGGTCTCCTGTATGGGTGTAGGGTCCTAAAGCTTTGGGCCATCCTCGACTTTCCCAGGTCACAATCAGGGAGCTGGAAGGGAAGCAGGGCCGTTGGGATTAGAATCAGCAACCATATGGGATCCTGGCGTGTGCAAGGTGAGGGCTTTAACCACTATGCTAACGCACTGGGCCCTCTAAAAATTTTTAAAGATTTATTAATTTTTCTAAGAAAAATAGATTTACAGAGAGAAGAAGAGATGTAAAATAGTCTTACACCCCTGGTTATACTGCCAGAAAACTACAGTGGTAAGAGCCAAGCTAATCTGAAACCAGGAACCCACAGTTTTTTCTGGGTCTTCCATGTGGTAAAAGGGCCTATGCACTTGCCTATTCTTTGCTGCTTTCATGAGTCATAAGCAGAGAGCTGGATTGGAATTGGGGCAGCTGGCACAGAACTGGCTCCCATAAGGAATACCAATGGTAGCAGACAGAATGTTAGCTTTCCTTGCTACCACACCAGTTCATATAGAATGACTTCTAAGATGAATTGTTGAATGAAAACAAGTGGAGAATATTGCACAAAGTATATTACATCTAAGAATAGAGGAATATACATATTTATTTACCAAAACCTAGTAAACAGTTCCCTGCGGGGAAGAGAAAGCCAGATGAAGGGATGCTAGTCAGCCCTCCTGGATGTAGTTTGTCTTCTACATTTACATTTACCATGTAAATACATCATTATACAGCACAATTTAAGTGAGGCAAAATGATCTGTGTGTGGAGCTGGCAGCTTACACTCATACAGGAGTGATTTAAAGGTAGACATCCATGGTGAGCGCTCAGTGCCAGCAGCTGTGTGACACCTGGATGCCTGCATCCCACATCCAGGGCCTGAGTTTGAGTACCGGTTCCACTTCTGATTCCAGCTCTCTTCTCCTTGTGGGTCCTGGGAGGTGACAGGTGATGGTCCTTGGGTCCCTTCCAGCCCCATGAGACCTGGCTTGTATTACTGGCTCCTGGATTTGCCATGGCCTTGTCCCACCTGTTACAGGCATTTGAGAATGAACCAGTAGATGGAATGGATCTCTCTTTCTCTGTCTTGCAAATAAGATGAAAATAAGTAAGATTTATGTGCAATAATTTGTTTGTAATCCTCAGTAGGATATAACCCAAGGACAAAACAATCACAAATAGATCTTGAATTTGTAAGTTATATTGGTATTATTGATTTATTATTCTGAACCTAGTATGTATGATCGGATATATATGGAAATGGATATACACACACGATAGGATAAAACAAATAACTATGTTTAAGCTATTAAGAAGTGTTATTTTCAACCTGCAAATTTATTTTTTTCTGATAAAGATAGCATGATTGAATGGAAATAAAAGTATAGTAATGTTTGCTTTGAATTTGAAATTGGTATAAATGCATGATATGATTCCTCTGAAAAATAGTAAAATTTATAATAGTCTGCATTTTGAGTACAAAGAAACCCTAAATATGACTAGGCACCCATCAAAAATGCTTTACAGGGTGGGTGCCAGGCTGGGGTTATCTCCACGCCAGGAGCCCCGATTTCAGCTACCGCGTCCATACGGTGACTTGTCCCTGGGCCTGCTCAAACTCCAGAGACTGCTCCCTTCATGGTGAGCTCACCATAGGGGTAGGTTTGGAGGGTGCAGCGGGCCCAGGGCCCTACCTGCCACCATCATGGCATGGGGGATGGAATTGGGGAGGGGGCGAACTTGGGACCTGAAGATTTAAACTTCCAGCAGCCTGTTGACTGCTGGTGGAGGCCAGGTCGGGACTGTCGCCATGCTCGGAACCCCGATTCCAGCCACCATGTGTATGTGGTGACCTGCCACTGGGCGGTCAGTGCGGCATTTGGTGCCAGGCTCCACCTGCTGGCCACCTGGTGATAAGCTTTACGGTTTTGGAGCTTTGAATTGCTGCTTAGGTATCTCCATGTTAAGCCCACTGCACGTCTTGGATGTCAATCAATCCTAAAGACTCCCAGCAACAAAGCAACTTTTCCTTTGAAGGTAAGGGAGAGTAATGAGACCTAGTAGGTTGGAGGAGAGGGACCAGATGATCTTTGTGTATAAGACAGATATAACAAACTCCTTTAAATCCAGTGTAGTACTTGTAATCATTGGACAATAATGACCACTGAATACCACTCCATGCAAAAGCTAAGGTTCGGGGCTTGTACAGCCGGACCATATTCTATTACCTGACATGATGATGGATCAGGAGAAGGGTCACATTAGGTAGGGCCATGACATTAAATACACAAGAGAATCATATCTGGGGGTAGATTCTGTGGGGGATGTGTGGGCCAAACCCCATGGAAATTCTAGCCCCATGGGTTAGCTCAAGAGCTGAGGGGTGATGGATTAAACTAGGTGTGACCAAGGAGTCTGTCATCACTCACAGGGAAAGGAACCCACAACAGTCTGGACTAGTCAATGCAGCATCACTGGAATGTGCATCCTGAATAGGGTGTGGGGTGGGATGGGCTGTAACGTTCACCAGTTCATACAAGGCCAATTGGAAAGCCAGACTATGCCGGACACTGACCTAAAACATAATGGAATGTATGAGAACAGTGTCCCTGAGAGGGTCAAGAGAGGGAATTTCGGAAACTCCACTGGTGGGTTATAGCTCCCGCTGCTGAACACATGGTCCAGATTGGGGTTCGGACAAGCTGGGCAGAGTAGCTCCAATGGCTGGCAAATGTATGGATAGGAAATGGAGGGGAGAATCAAGATGGCAGAATAGGGTAAGGACATGTTAAAATGAATGGAGAAACATTTAATCAGGATGAAGCAGAGAGGATATATTTCAGGAAATAGGAAAGGACAGAACAACAGAAGAGGGGTACCTGGAGACTAACAGACACAGGAAAGCAGGTGGCACAGAAGTATGGTGTTGCAGTGACTAATACTCCATCACGGCGATCTGAACTCCACCAGCAGCAGGAACTCCACCAGCAACCAGGTGGGAAGGGACATTCACTGGGAGCTTGGGAGGTGAACCCAGACA